GATTCAAACTCAAATCGCTATATAAATTCAAGTATCAGTTATCAGAAGAAATGAAACTCAGGTTAGTTGAAACTCTCATTTACCCTCATTTCGAGTATTGTTGTTCGGTGTATTTCAATTTTTTGCCGCAATATAACAATCAGAAGTTACAACGTATACAAAATGCTTGCATGCGATTTGTATGCTGTATATCATATAGTGAACATGTCACACCATTTTTATTGAAAATGAAGGCGCTAAATGTGAGGTACCCCTTTTGAATCATAATATTCATTGATTTAAGAAAGGAATAAAACCACAGATGCTTACTGCTCAGTGCTAATTTAAAAAAAAATTAATGTATGGTAGTGCAATGAAATTGTCAAATTGACCGAAATAATGTTAAGAATATCAAGCAACTATATGATATATTATTTTTTTCTCCTCTCTATCATTTTTATGATAGTAAATAAGTATGTGTATAATTTTTGGGAGGGATAGCTAACCCTTTTCCTTCTATGTATAAATGTATTTTTATGCATAATAAACGATATTATTATTATTATTTCTCCCTCTATAGTCTTCTGGTACTTATCTATCATTTCTCTTGTTCTAAACTGATATTACTTTTTATATTATACAAATATCGTTCTTCATACACTATATTCTTAATTACGACTTCAGAGTCAAAATAACAGGTTTCAAGTTGGAATTACGTACTTTTGTTTTGGGGTCAAAAAATAAAAGAGGGTTACACTATTATGTTTCCGTAGCATTCATATATTCATATAGTTTAATTTTTCAACTGATGTAGATTCTTCTTTAAATGCATTCATAACATTTTAACTCAAAAATTTCATTCGCAATATGCTTCAGTATATTATCAAATAAATCATCAAAATACTCACAATGTTATCGCTACCATCCTATTCCGCCAAGCATTACGAGAACAGTATGTGGTAGTTCGATATCGAATCTTTTCGATGACATATGGGTTGCGATAAAATACCCTTTCTGAGAGCCACTTCAAATAATTCTCACCCCATTGTCGAACAAGATGAATGCACTTGCGATCGTGATAGATAAACATAACAACATAGTACTGAGGGGTGTTCAATATTTAATGAGGACAGCGATGATACAAAAAATTGCCAGCAAAGAGAATGATGTTGTTTCAAGGACGCTTTTGTTTGAATGGGAATTGGGTTCATCTCGTTCCATTCTTATTTATTTAAGAATAAAATGAGGATAAATTGGCATAGAAATTGCCTGTTATGTTCATCAATTCATCAAAAACTGCAAGTAAATCAATATGAATGAAATTGAGAAGTTGGGAGGAAAAAGAATTTAATCCAGAATATATCTAAAATGAAACGAAGAAGAGAAAGTACCGAAAAATAATACGATATTATTACAGTGGATGTTTCAAAGGAAACAAAATCTAAGCTGGTAGGCAATGGTCCTATAGCATTTCATTTTTGTTCTTCTTGAGTACTGAGTACTCAAAATGAGAAAGTACACCTTGCAATAGGTATATTTATATGTATATGTTATAGAATGCTAATCAAATTTAACTACTGCATGTCTGCGTTCTCGTAGCGCTGCTGGATATGACAACAACAAGATCACTCGCGTTATTTCCTAACAGAATGACATTCCGGTGATAGCTTCATTTTGAGGTAAAAGGATGTAATACTCTGAGCTTATCAGTGTCACTAACGAAACTTTCGTCGTAGGTAGTCTTGTCACGATAATGCGTGGATCTGTCTAGATGAACCTACTTTTCCTAGTTTCTTGTGGAAAAAATTCGATTGAGAATCAAGACATGAGTGGGACATAAAGTGAACGATCCCAAATGTACCCCTGTAATATCTGATAAAGAGCGAGATTTAATCCTGTTAACAAACCTAGGTGGTACAACCAGAAAGCAGAGCAGAATTTCTTATGGATTTGCCTTGCCCCAAATTCTTGAGCAGCATAAGTAGAATCTACATGAGAAGAGAAAACTAACTTTTTTGTGCAAGTCTGTAAACGCTCATGCCGAAAACAGGTTTCACCAAAACCAGAGGTGAAAAAAAACTTTACATGGCTAAATCTAATGTACCGTTAGGTATAGCTGACTGACAAATTTCTCTTATGGGATCTTAAGTATCTCTCATCGAAGAGAGAATTTTGTACCTTGGACATTCAAGAACCGCAATATCGATCTCTTTAGGATGCCTTAATAGCTGCCGTGGAAATATTTCAGAAGATGGTTAACAGGTACGATTTAAGAGCTGCACATGACTGGATGGCTACAGATTCCCTGGTGGGTGGGTACAGTTAGTACTCCTACTTAGGTAGACGCAAACTCCCTGTTGGTCCTCAGTAGTTTGAGGAAAATGGACCATGGACAGTCTTCCTTCGAATGTATCATTTTTCACAAAGAAATAAAGGTTTTCAGAGTTCTACAAAGTCCTACTCTTGCCAGCTAACCTGAAAGATCATTCACCTGATAGGTGATCTGTTTTCTCAAGAAGCTGAGTTTATCCGGTCGAGTTTGACACTTCCACTAGTGAGTGTTCCCTAGTGGGTCAAATAGACCCACTCACTAGGGTCGTCATTCCGTTTACCTCACAATAACAAAAAAGTCAAACTCTTGCAATAAGTAACCTCTACCAATGCTGACAGGAGAGTATGAATATTCGAGCAGGAATGTTTCATTATTTATTTAAATTTTTCACAAAACTTCTCTCTATCAGGAAATGTACTACTTTTTAGACTAAGGGTATAGATACATTCCAGAAGTTGAAGAAAAACAGCATGTGCTCCTTCATCAGAAAGCTAGAAATCCGATCAGGCAGTTTATTTTTCATTTTCTCTGGAGTATAGAATAGCGAAGTAAGAAATGAATCTTGTGGAAACAATTAATGGAATAAGAGGTACAGCCTTGAACTTACTCAATTCACGCTTAACCAGAATGAAACATGCCATCTGCACAAACGGGGGATTATCTGAGGAGAAAGTTGTTTCCCATGGCATACCTCAGGGGTCAATCCTTGGACCTATCCTTTTTGTAATCTATGTGAATGATACTTTTGAAATCTTACTACCTAGTACAGTCATCTGTTTGGCATATGATACAACAATGATTCACTCTAACTCCCACATGAGTAAACTAATCGACAAGATCAAGGAAATTGAAGAGAAGGCTTTAAACTTTCAATAATTTGAAATTAAATAAAGACAAAACTCAACGAATAATTATATCTTCAAATAATAGGGTAACCACACAGGAGCGCGTAAAATTATTAGGTATAATTATTGATGACTTAAATGGGAAAATCATATTGACTTCTTGTGCAAAACTCCGTCAACTCAGCTCTACCTTCTTCGCCAGCTGAAAAGATTTATGAGTACCAATATTACTGAATGCGTATTACTCACTATTTCACTCCCATTGAATGTATGAAACTCTTTCATGGGAAAAATCTTCTCATGCTCAAGAGATTTTCCGTATGTAAAAAAAAACACTCAGAATAATACATGGAGCTTCATTCAACGAACCATGCCGACCTCTCTTCATCTTTTAGACTTTGCTAGAGATCCATAAAAAAAAAGTATATTCTCCATCCAATCACAATTATCCCACTAGAAATGCAGATAAACTAAGACAACCGCTGAATGAATTGAAAATGTCTATAGGAAATTCACTGAACCTCAAGTTGTATACCCATTTACCAGCTGACCTCACTCAGTTCAGTACTAAGTTCAATACAAATATCTGTAATACATTTTCATCTCAGTATTTGCAGAAAATGTTAGAGCGACGCTGGAATGATTGTGTGGCTCTTGATGAAGATTTCGTTTGAACAAAAAAATGCGTTTTCTTTTTGGGACCGGGACTCTCCAGCCCATGTGTTAATATCAATCAATCAATCAAACATTTATAATCAGTTTTCCTTCACAATCACTTTAGACAAAAGAAAACATAACATCTTCATAAAATACTGGCTGATTCAACAGGTCAAACAAACATAAAAATAGTCAATATAAAACATAAAACATACATAATTGAAGATATTGATATTCGAGGATTTAATGTCCTCAGTAAGCTTATTATATAGCTCTACCCCAAAGCACATGGGGTGATTCTTTAATACTGTCAATCTACTATCAGGTAGTAGTTGAGAGTTATTTCTGAGGAAATGTTCATGGATATGCTCATTTCTTGGAATAATTGAAATATTGTTTTTTATATGTATCAGAGTTTGGTAGATATACAAACTAGGTATTGTTGAAAGACATAACGAATGAATACTGGCCTGCGGTGTTCACTTGAAAATGCACCAGCCAGAAATCTGATTATCTTTTTCTGAATAACAAAAACTTCAATCAGCTTTAACTGATATGCCCCACTATTCAAGACCATAGGAAATTACTGACTGAAATAAACTGTGGTATAAAACCTTGATAACATCACGAGAGACTGTTTTAATCGACGAAGAGAATATATATATTTTTACTGAGCTTCAGTTTGGCACTATCAACATGGAACATCCAGGTAAGTTTACTATCAATATCAACACCTAAGAATTTAGTACAATTAACTTTGATGTGAAGTTTCATTTCCAAATAGCTTTTATCAAATGTTGTATTTTTAGTAACAAAGTTGAGCATTTGAGATTTAGCAGAATTTAGCAGCAGGCCATTTAGAGAACACCACTAAGAAATTTGATCAGTTACTTCATTAGCTTTGGCAGTTACTTTGTACATAGTTCCCGCAGATACCAAGATATTAGTATTGTCCAAATAAATAATAGTAATGGAAGCTTCTGAACTAAATTTCGAAAGATCATTTATAAAAACCAAAAATAGAAGGTATACCAAAACAGTCTTATGACGTCAATCATTCAGGCAGCATTCTGATGTGAGGATGTTTGATCTCTGATGAGAGAGATAAACAAAATAATTGCTGCTGGTATCAGGTTGCCACAATAAAATACATTTTTCATTATAAATTTTAATATACATCCATAGATTCGAAAAAAACCTTCGATGAAATCACATAGGTAACGAAATAAATCTTTACACAATAAAAAACAATATTGAAAAATAAAATAACAGTAAGTGAGACTATTTACAAATTATACACGCCAACTCAATATTAATCGTGAGGATATTTCGAAGAGTAATTCTGAAACCAAGTCTGTCACTTGTTTGCTTTGATGAAAAATGTATCTAAAAAAGTTTGTATTTTGTGTAGGAATATTTATTCGTATACTTGGTAGTATTCTTCAAATAGATGAAACCGATTTGTATTCGTCGCTACATTGCTTTTCATAAACTACTATTTACAGTTCTACAGAAACAAACTCACTACGATATGGTATTTTACAAAATATATAGAATTGTCGTTGTGTAACCTCCATGTTACTTTACAGATTTGTACATTTCATCAATTATTTACATCGTATTTTGTTATTTAGAAATCCCAGCTCTAAAGCGATATGTATTTTTGGTTATAATATAGATATGACGAGATTCATCGACAGATATACGAGGACAAACCAAGTGGAAATTATGACATATTTTCTTTTCATATTTGACTTCGTATACCATTTTTTCTCCAGAAAATATTTTTTCGTACGCTTCAAAATATTTTGTGGAAGAACTTACTGTTAGTTATCTCATAAGTATCAAGTGATCACAGTTCATTGAGTATCCATTTAAAACTGATAATCCTCTTATTTATTTATTTTCAGAATTATTTCAGTGAAGTTGAGTAACATTTGCCATTATTATTAAAATCAACCTTCGGTATACACTGTACGGGTTTTTGGAAAATGGGAGTTTCGGATACTTTGACTGATTTTATAAAACTGACTGGAAAATGTTATATGAGCCGAACAAATTGGCCTAGGCGTTACATAATTTATTGATGGAAATAACATAAAATAAATCAATCATGACTGTGTCAATGAGAGATACATTAACCAATGAAATAAATTATGCAAATATAAATGCATATGGCAAATCCCTGTTGATGACTAATCCCATACGATGAACATTGTACTACTCATAAAAAGAAATCAATTTAGGTGCTTCTCTACCATCAAGCAGCAGAAATTGTATTCCGCCTAGGAAGGAGGTTTCATATTATGGGTAAGATGTCGAGAATATCAGTCCAGTACTAGACGTGACTACCGCACTGAGGAGTGATACTATAACAATAGTATGAAGGACATTACTGGATTGATTTCAGCAAGATACTGCTGCTGATTATAATACAATATTTGTTGTGGTATTAGCCTTCGATGATTTCTGTCAGAAATTTGCCATTTCCTACTGTGTGAGACCATGATTTGAAGTGAATATTTTGAATTCCGAAAAGTTTATCAAGTTATTATTGGAAGTATTTTTCCTTATATTTGAAGCTGAAAAGCAAGTTATCTAGTTATAAATGAGCCTACATATCTTCCACCACGGAGACACCATTTAAGTTTGCCATAGGAAACTTATATCTTGATTATCCAAGATGAAAAAGTCTATGTGTCAGTTTGTCACAATAATCGCTCAATAAAAAATCGAATTCTATCTTTCATTCAGTTTCTTGTTGACATTAGAAGGGAATGGAAAACGATTTCTCATTTAGCGTATCAATTTCAGAACTGAAACATCACGACGTATTGCCGTCGGGACTCTATTATCATAGTTGACCAATCTTTGAGTTTTTTTGAACCCATAGATGTCGTATCAGTGAAGGAAGATATCCAAGCTAACTCATACACAAATTCATTGTTCAAAGACAGTTGAGTTCAACAATGCATCACCAATAATTGGATCTCAACAAGTCGAACAGTTTTTAAATTAATATTTGAAATCAAAGTATCTCAAACAACCAGCTTCTCGTAGCTGGTTCCAAACACCCATTTCATTACGATTAACTACACAAGAGGTCTTTGGTACGCGTTATTCGGAGTATATTGCACTGTTGACGTCATGCGGTGACGACAAAGGGCTGGCCTGGCTCGAAGGGCTGTGTTCACAAACCGCGGGCTACTTGCTGGAACCCACTAGAGCAGGGGAACCATAAGCCTGCGAGTTGCAAGTTGGCAGAGCGAAAGGATTCATCGAGGCGAAAGGTGAGGAGACTAGACTCATTCCTGAAAAAAAGGATACTTTAATTAATACAATATATTTTTGTGTAACTACAAAGTTCATATTACATTTCCAATAGTATGCGCCTCCGTAATATGGGGAGAAGTGACTATAGTCTCCCTCCATGAGTTTACACTATTGAATGGGAATAATTTATCTACGAAGATTTCATTTCCTAGGGAATGTATTAAAAAATATTCATGAAGAAGATAATCAAACACGATATCAGTACATCTGAATTGAAGAATAAACATGACATGAAATAACTATCCCTATGCGAAGAGTTGGGTTGAAAGTTCAACAAACATTTCACATGATCTTTGAATGTTTTCTTTTGTTTTTTGTGAATCAGAATATGTGTACATGATGGTAACTTTTTAGGATGTGGAGCAAATTTTGAGGTTATAACTTCAGTGTAAGTCGAAGCGATAAAAGTATTATTAAGAATAATTATGGAACAAAATAATATATCTTGGTTATTCTACATTGAGAAAAGTAAAGAGAATGTTTTTTTCCAACACGTAGGAAAACGACAGTATACTGTCGCATAGTTACATAATCACATTATCATCACCATATTCAAAAAACACTCTTTGATGTGAGATTTTCACTTTTCAGAAAACGCTATCAGGAAGTTAGTAGGTACATAGTTATTTTTTATAGGCCAAATACCTCTTTACAGTGGCTAGTTATCAAATAATGGCGATAATCTGATTATGCCTCTTACGGATTTTTTTCCAGGGTATCATAATTTTATTTTTTATCTATTAAACTTTTATCAGATAGGATGCTTACATGATTCATCTCGTGGTTTTCTCTTAAATGAAATGTTGTCAACAGAAACAATCGTATTTTGAAGCGAATGAAAAACAGCTCACCCGGAAAACATCAAAATAAATAACTATTACAGCGTCACACTTTCTACATCTACAAACAAACTCCACCACCAAACAAAAACAGGAGTAAAATATAAACTAATTACGAGCTTAACAAGCAAAACGAGAAAACAAAACGTAAACGATAATAAAATAATATACTAACACTGCACAGCCAAGTAGTGCCAGCCTGTAACGGGTTGATGCTGAAATAATGCCGGGGAGGGGTGCAAAGGGGGAGTTTCGCTGCCCCGAATTACGGGAGCGAAAGCGCTTTTATCTCGGTCCGATGGGGAGTCTTGTTTTTTATAGTGCGGTCCGAGATGATAATGATTCGCTTCGGAGGAAACTAAAAATCCAAAAACAAAATTGAGAGGATGATTCCAATTTCAATAGTTTTTATGTAATTCAATAAATAATTGATAACAATAGAAATAGAAATGGGATCCAATGTAGATGCATTATATAATTTTATATTTTCTGTAGTATTTATTTCATACAGGATAAATATTTCCGAAATATTTTTTTGTATACATACATAGGTACGCCTAGAAATTGTCGACAATTTCACATTAAAACTCAATATTGCTTCTTGCATCAATTCTACAAAACTGAAAGAAGAATAATTTCCATAACAAACATATTAATGGAAAAATTGTGAACTTTAGATTGACTTCTACTGTTTATTGGCATTTTAAATACAATAATAGGAAATAATAAACCTGTTGATTTGAAGGCGGACATGAAAGTTTATAATTTTTTTCATTATTATAGTCCTTTTAGTTCCTAATACTATCGTTCTAGTTGTTATGGTTCCATTGTCTACTTGTTTTCTTGATTTATAAACTTTATATTTATGAAACTGAAATATCAGAAATAGCCAGTGATATTATTTGATTGTGGAGTTGTATTAGAACTTTGGGTACCTACATCATTTAAAAAAATTTATCAATAAACAACTTTGCTCCCTTCGAAATATAATAGATTGATGAAAATGATAATACTGGAAGATAGGAAAATACAGAACTACTCAGATTCGAGTCTATGCATGGGGATTTCGTAAATGGTAGGAGATAGGTATTATATACAAAACATCATCATTTTTATACTAAGGTCCTGATAATCATACAGGAAGCAATATGTCTCTATACTTCTTTATTAGTAAAAATAAAGCACTAAACACCTAAAATGTGTTGGTATCCCAATCCTATATTTTCCGCGAGGTTTTTCTGGAGTTCAAGAAAAATTTTATGTGACTGAAGGAATTTCGATTTTTTTGAAAAATTCACTGAAATATTATTGATTTCTGGAATATGTGACTTCTCTCTTTTCAATGTTTAAGATACCTTTTGAAAAAATAAAATGAAATTTAAAATTTTGCTTCTATTTTTCGTTCATTCAACCGAGAATGAAATGTTGACCAAGTTTTCAAAAATCAATTGTGATACTTTGAATATTGCTTACATTGGAACTATTACCAGGGGCGTAATGAAAAATCATATTTCACGCTATCATTGAATTACCGGAACTATCAGGAATTCTGACTCCAATTCAATTTGTTGATGTTAAATGGGAATTTGCTGCAACCAGAGAAAATACAACCACAACAAAGGAATCATTTCCAAATTTTTGTTTTTTTGCCTTTCAACGGAACAAAAATCTTGAGTCAATTGAAAGTACTCTTGAGTAGTCAACTTTATCATAGCTCAGCCGACTCCCTTTCTTTTACTTTTCACGAGATCCCCACTCTAAATTCAATGCCCTTGGTGGTATTAGCCAGAGGAGTAGTTGTTTTCTGATAGGTGTTAGCCATCAAATGAGTAGAGACTGGCCTGAATGAATTATTCCCTTAGATGATTTGATTAATAGCCAGTTTTCTAGTATGCTCACTTACTAATATGCAGACCTGTATATTCAGAGGAAACTTCAGAGCAGAATAGAAAATCAGAATGTAATATAATGATTTGATATGCAAAAAATATTTCAAAGGACATGGCACAAGGAAGAGGAAGATTTTGTAGATCCTTCCAGTGAAACCCCGATGTCTCACCAGAAAGGCTTCATCTCTGAAACCAAAAACGTTTAATAAATGAGTAGAATAAACCCAAAAAGTTGACAGAAGACCTCTACTACTAGGAGAAGTAGCTTATTGTTTCAGATTCAAGGTAGTTTTAGGTGTACGGATTTTTTTCGAGATTTCATGTCGGAGATAATTGTTTTCTAAAATGTATCTTGCTCATTGAAATGATTTGAATTGAGGTATAAATACTGCCTAGGTGAGTACTTGTCATGGAAAAGAATTTTCGGAAAACATAAAACTATCATCTGAGAGGGTCCCAGAGTAAAAAAAAATTGGTTTGAATATGACATCAAAGAAGATAAAGCATTGTATCAAAGATAGTTCTTCCCCATTTTGGATAATACAGAAAGTATTTCGAAATTTGGTTCAAAATGAAAACATACTGGGTGATATAGGTTTTTAAAAAAACCGTACGTGAACTTTCATTCGACTCCAGATATGTTATACTGTTACTCAAAACAAATTATTTGACTAGCTGGGCTAGACACTTTTGAGTTCTAACTTTTTTGAGGAAGCAATGAGGAATTACTACTTTTGGTTCAATACCTCATCTGAATTGAAAATACTCATTTATATTTCATTTCCATTCAAAACATTACCACTTTAATTTTTACGAGTATGTAAACAAAATCTACCTATTGTCAGAACCAATGTCTTAGTAGTAGACGTATTTCAGCTACTATTTGAGTTTATTATATTTATTTATCGTTTGTTATTTCAGAGATGAAGCCGTACAAGTTTGCAAACTTGTGATACTTTGCTATAATGAGACTCACTTGGTGTGGTGTTGAAAATCCCTGCCGACGGTGAACCAGGCAACATGTTGGAGAGCTGCGACGTTGTGCTAGTAGGCGTCGCACCTCCGTAGCCATTCATATTGCCGACGTACGATCCACCACCGTTGGAGGAATGGGGGGTAGAAGCGTTTGAACAGTAGCCGGTCCCCCGAGGTGACACGCTACTGCTCTGCGTCCTCCCATAGTCTTCTAAAAGAAAAACCCTAGGATAAAAATCTATTGTCAGTATAACACCAACTAAACTGAAAAAATAGATGAATTAGCACACAGCGGCATAGTCAATTCCTCAACTGAGGCGTAGTAGGTATGATATCAATTATTTTTCAATGGTCACTGTTAGCAATTTAAATTCAAAAATATTCCAATTGGTATCTACAATTTTTGTAAAATGAAAACATAAAATATATGACTGAACATGAACCTTTTGCTTCAAAAAAATTAAAGAAGAGTTGGAACCTTATAAAATATTCATCTCTGTGGAAAATTTTATGTTGGGTCAAGTCCTGATTGTTTTATATGTGGGAATTATTGATAAAAGTGAATTATTGAAGAACAATTCCGAAAGGACATGCAATAAAGGCAATTGAATGAAAATACCGATAAATGAAGTTTGATACTCAAGATTGTGTTTCGCTCACCAAGTGATCATCTTCAAGGGAAAGATAAAAAAAACTGTTTAGTGAGTCAAGTTTGATATTTTCAAATTTATGAGTCATCTTTTCTCCAGAAGTGACTATTATATTTCTCCATATTCTTTTCAATACGTGATGTGGAGAAACATTTCCTTATCATTATCCAGTTTTTTATTCTGTTTAGATTCATTGTCATTTTCTTTGTCGTTTCCTCTATATTTATAAACTTATACGTCACTTTTTTCAAACAAATTATTTCAGTTCTTCTTTCTTCAAGCTTGTCAACGATAGACTTCATTTGAATTTTTTTAAATGTATTTTTTGATTTCATCATTATTTAAATTTTCGTCAGTTGTTTATGTTTGAGTGTGCAGTCACCGTTTTCTGCCGTTCTTAAAATTCATTGCTGATTTATTCATATATGTAACTTGAAATGATATTTAGTATGTAATATAGCATATGGTATTTAGTACATATTGTTTTAAATATTTATTTCAACTACGTGCTAACTAAACATAATTCTACCGATATATTCTCTCGAAACAAGTGTTTAGTCACTAATCGAGTAGAATATTAATTTACACGTTTCAGTTGAAACAAGTATGTAAATAAATATTACCCGGAAAACCCGGAAAATATCTTTGATATCGTTATCTTTGGCCGTGAAAGCTCAAACTTTTTTACTGGATTATCAATATTTCTTCATTTTCATTATAAGAGAAAGTATAATGAACTCAGAGTTTTGATATACAAAAAATGTGCTGCTGTGTACTAACCCAGTTCCAATATCACAAATTGAACTTGCTGCATTGAAGTAATTCTTCACAAATATTAATATTATGACAGTAACCTCAAAAATAGAACTGGGTGAAGTTAATAACAGAAAGTTAAACTGAATCGAAGGGAGAGCAGTACAACACAAACATGAGATTGAAATATATTCACCGGAAGAAAATTATTCAACATAACAAACATTGAGAGGAGTACTATTCTAGCATCTACTAGGGAATAACTGAAGCAAGGAAGGACAAGCACCTTCTGTCCACTGACCGTTTCCGTTGTCCTGAACGCTGACCGCCAGTTGACCCGTGTAAGCATTGAACGTCGACGTCATTCCGTTGTTGCCCATCGTAGGTGACCTTGGCGCTGACAAGGATAGCTGGTTGTTGCGTGGCATTGAATAGAGCGCTTCTGCAAGATCTGCTGCCCTTTTGAGTATTATTTCCTAAAAAAAATTTTTCATTGAATATCAGGTGTTCCAGATTTATGCCCTATCGAGCAAAATAATTGTTTACCTTTGGTAGTTTGTCGGGATCCCCCGGATGCCTCGGTATTAGCTTTTGTAGCCTCTGGAAACCGTAGTCTATCGTGGGTTCATTCAAGGCTGTGGACAATGAGAAATTGTTAGGAATATTTAGTTGTGTATCAAATTAATCATTAATCAACAATACTCATATTGTTGCTCAGAGGTATGGAGTTTCTTTGACAAGAAATAAAATTATTATCACAATTTTCTGGTGATAAAATATATATTGGCGTATACTCACAAACATAAACAAATCGCCCTGGTGCTCCTTTACAAAATTGTTTGGACTTGTATGATAACGTAACTTCTACTACGCCCGGTATATGTCTTGGTGGTGTTTGAACTCGTATCGCATGAGGTGTTATTAGCTGAAATCAAAAGTTTTCTAGGTGAGCAGTTACGATGATAGTGTATTTCAATTGACGGATTTCGATTACTATGATTCACTGTTTTCATTTTTACAAAAAATTCTGACGGAAAATAGAGTAAAGGATAAATATAAATAGAAGACACAAACACTCATTGTTTCTGAATTGATCTACGTCTCACTTGTTCTTCTTTAATATTCTCTAGACATGATATAATGTTATGACTGATGGTATAATATTATGACTTTCTCTACAAATTGTTTCGGGCCGTTTTAATGTTTTTTCTCTCATTTTTCTTCCCTTTCAATTCCGTTTACTTCCGACTTATTTTAGTTCTCTTTATTATTCTTCCTTTTTATTTATTTCTTTCAAAATTATTTGAAACAGATGTGACTTGAAAAAAAATCACAATATATAAAATTTTTGGAGGAAAAACTATTTAAGAGTTATAAAAATCTAGAAATTTCACATAATCGGGACATTTTCCCAACACTCAGTTGTTTCTGGGGTAAGAAATATGGATTGGAGGTATTTTTCATTGGAGCCGATACTTTGAATGAAAAAAATCAGTAGAAAACCTATTTCGATTCAACTCTTATCAAGAATTTTCAATAAAACCCCGTATATTGTTTTGGCCATTCGATAGGATTTAGATTTTCTTTTCAACGTCATAATACAAGTGCCCGTTTCCTTACAAAATGGCGGCATAGGAAATTTTTTCACCAAATTCAATATGGTGGGATAATTTCCATTTTTGAATGTTCGTTTGGAAATTGAACAAACTTCGTTTTTTGTTTCTCACTACAAGTTGTTGACTTGTTTGCACAGTACGTCATAGTACCGCCGCGCCGTATTGCATATTCTATCGAATTATTTTAAAAAATATACAGGGTTTCATTCGAAATAAAATGAGACTCTGATTGTTTTTTCATCAAAACGTGCACTCTTCCCAAACACCAAAACTACAACACTCTTCTCGACGCGTTTCGTGAGTTGCGTCTTCATCTCCTAAAGACACCAATTTGGTTGGTAAAACGCGCGTCGAGAAGGATGTTGTAGTTCGGGTGTGAGAAAAGTGCTTGTTATGGATTTATTCTACGCCTGGGGTTGCAGTTCTATTTATCATTGAAATAATTGACTCTGAATACTTATACCTTCAGTATACTCTAATATGTAGCTTATATTCAGTAATTTCTTCTTAGATGTGAATTTGGGTAAAACGAATTTTTCGCGATGTTAGTAAATTGATGGGAGATTAATGGAATCGACAAAAAACTCAAAGACAGTTCGTTGTGAAATCAAGCTTTGAAATTGACCGCCGAATGAGCTTCCACCTGTGCAACGGAACTAGAGCTCAAGAACAAAATCTTCGTGTTCCACCATCTCGCTACACGTCTTATTAGTGGTGTTTGGCTCCACCACGAATGCATTGTTGAACTCGACAGAGCTTAAAGTCCGAACGTGAGTAGGAAAAGACATCTTTCTTCACGAATTTCAATAATGAATGAGCTCCAAAAAACGGACCAAAACAAAGCTAAACTTCCACATCAAGTTTCTTATTCTCCACAAAAAATGACTGTCGTTCAATATTCTGCAACTTCCGCTGCAAGTAGGCAAAAGTGATACCGGAATCTGCTTCGATATTCGTGATCTGAATTTTTGTCGTTCTCATATATGAGAGAGAAAAAGAGAGAGAGAGAGAATATACTTTATTATCGTAAGAGTAAATCTTGTGGACATAGTTTCACTTAATCTATAATACAGTTTTAATGTAAAAACAGAGTGCATTTGAATTGATCAATTTTCGCTTAATACATACAATCAGTTTGTATATATGAAAACATAAAAGTCATACGGGGTACCGGAAAATAAGTAAATTGAAAAAAACAGTTTGTATATATAAAAACCACTGGGAAATGATAAATGAGTAAATTTTTTTTGTATATATAAAAACTGTAAAGAATATCATTATAAAATCCTTGTATATTATAACTAATATGGTTAGTATCACTTAAAAAATCTTTCACATCCTTCCTGAGGCATTGTAAAAACTTTATTTCTGTTACATTCTTTGGCAAGTAGTTGAACATTCTACAACCATTATAGACAATGGAATCATTCATGACTGATGTCAGTGGTATTGGCAACTTAATGTTGTTGATTATTGGATTGCCTTGTCACATAATGGGTTGGTGGGGATTGAAATTAGTTGAAATATTTCTTAACTAAACACACTGTTTCCATTATAAAAAAAATCACTATTAGAATTCCATGAGTGGTAAATAGTAATTTACAAGAGTCTGTACTTTTTGATTTGTACATATATCTTACGGTTTGTTTTTGAAAAATTGAAATATTTCGTAGTAGATAACTACTACATACGTCCCAAAATGGAATTCCATATCTCAGGTGAGATTCCACCATAGAAAAATAAACAGGTTTAGCTGCTGTTAAACCATGTTCATTTGCTACTACTCTGGCTGCATAATAACCAGTTGACAAACCAAATTTTAGTTTTCTATCCATATGTACTCCTAAAAATTTTAAGCTACTTTTATTCTCAATGATGTCATTTCCAATGGGTATATTGTCAAATTCACATCTGAAAGTTACTATGATAGTGTTTCAAATATATAGAGACAGACGATTTGAATCACACCAACTCTTTGCTTTCATCATATCGATGGATATGATTTTAGTTAAATCATTTGCATTGTCCGATTGCCAAAAAACGATAGTATTGTCTGCAAATCGTGTGAATTTTCCTGGGATATTTATACTTGTCAAAACAGTGTTGGCCCTAGTATTGAACCTTGAGGCACACCATTACGTATTTTCCTAATTTCTAAGCGATGGGTTGTTTCCTCTATCTGACTACGACCTGACAAATATGAGCTGAACCAGCTCAGTATCACTTCTCGACTGAAGCCTAGTAGGGAAGCTTCCGCAAGAGTATTTCGTGATCCACACAGTCGACAGCCTTCGAAAAATCGCAAAATACTGCAGCAGCAACCTCGCCAGTATTGATTCCAGTATAAACATTTTCCATGAGTGAAAAAATTGCATCAATAATGCCTTGCCACTTTGGAAGCCAAACTATTCTTTATTACTGATTTTGTGTTTCGACAGAAATACAGTTATCTTGACCAGTTTTTCTAGAAGTTTTCCTAATGTGGGAATTAAGGAAATAGGCCGATAATGCGAGGGGTCGTCCTGATTTCCACCTTAATAAAGTGACTTTAAAAGGGTATATATCATAGATTTTCCTATCCAGTGTTGTTATTGTTAAGACAGGATAGTTCAAAGGTTGCATCTGCCACTGACGGTGGAGGATCATGAATGACTTTTCGATATATTATCTACTTGAAGAGCTGAAAGAGTTTATGAAAATTCACTGTTTCACACAAGAACTGTATGTCAAACAAAACAATTCAATAGTCTAGATATATTCAGAAAGAAATGAGAATTTCAAAATTAATATTTACTTGTTCTGATACTTATACTTAAAAGACCCGTACCAGAATTCAATATTTAGAGTCACAGCAAAGTTAGCTCAGAATGTTGAATAAAAAGACAAATTTGAATAAACTTGTCCTATCATATCATCAGTACCGTTTTCGTTAACATTACATATCATCCATAACGTTTTGAATAATGGCAGAATGACAGCACGTATAGATTTTCAGTAGGTTATTTAATTCAATCCCAGACATTGGAATATCAATAAACTAAAAATATTTCCTTTTCATGAATCACTCAAGACATTAATGAGCGTCAAACCATTTGTGAATTAAACATTAAACGGTCCATTATTGAAAATATAAAATTCACAGAAGGCCGTCTATTTTTCGAAGTCGTTTTCCCTATCCGCCCGCCATTTCCTTTCTATCCAAAACACATAAAATCTTACCTCGCTCCAAACGAGCATCGTGCCGAAAACGACTTGTAGTCCATCAAAGAAGTTATCTCCGACTATAATAACTGTCGATCCGCCCGCCGTCCATCCTTCGCTGGGGCTGATTGCTTTTATACAGGGGGTGGCTACTGGCAGGGGCGGGTATAGTCCCGGAAACTGGCCTGTAAAATTTGAAA